CAGACTGAATTGGGGAGCCAATATGTCACCGCCTCATTGCCTCTGTGTATGGGGAAAATCTTGAGGTCATGGGCTTCCCCTGACCTATATTTCTCTCTCGGCCATTTGCTGAATCGCAGATTAATGCCTACAGTTCAAAATAGTCATTTTGACTGACCGGAGTCTATGTGAATAGATGCGTTCTGAGAACCCTCTGCCTAATTTTGTGACATTAGTGGAACACTCATCACCTCCTTATTCAGCCAACACTTGTACGTCTTAGTACAATGGCTCAACTTTCACTTAGCTGAACTGATTATATTTTACATACAACTAAAAAAAATGAACAGTGATATACTTTAATAGTATCTTGTGGTTTCTTTACACTATAGCTGTGTATATCTTCAAAAGTTTTTTCATACAAGGACATTATGACATGGTGTTGAAAGGGAATGGTAAGTGAAAATAATATATAAATGCATAACATTTATGCTAATGATTTCTATTACATTATAAACCACACATCAGTTTATGCTCATGTGTATAAGGATTTATGTGATGCAACTTTTGATGAATTTCAGGAATTGGTAGCCAACACAATGGTTTCTATTCAACCAATTTGGCAGTTGCTCTTCATAAAGGATTTAAAACAAGAATAAATGATATGTCACATGTTTTGAAAGTAAGTTTCAATTTCAGCACTTGGGTTATATTAACATCAGTTAAGACTTTTTTTTTACATTGGACACACAAGTGCGATAGTATACAAATCATTTTGATTTCCATTTTGAGCTCTAATGTATCATTAAATAATGTAGATTATTATAATACATCTGTCACCGTATCGCCATAAATTCACTATGTTCAATTACCCACCATAGACTCCAGTCAGTCAAAATGACTATTTTGAACTGTAGCGATTCTACCAATGACTGAGAGATAGAATCTAGGTCAGGGGAAGCCCCATGACCCCAAGATTCTTTTACCTTACGTCACGAACCACGTGACCGAGCCCATATGGTGGAGCTATTAGGGCTGGATATCCACTCTGCTTTTTCTCAGCATCGAGTGGAGATCAAGTCTAGCGTCTCTGCCTGGATCGCCTGCTTTTTTCCTGTCTGGTTTCTGCTTGGGTTGTTGCCGCTGCGTGGCATTTGACTATGCAGCTGGTTGGATATGTTTTCCTTGTCATTTTTACCCTCATGTCGTTTTCCCCTTTGTGTGTAGCATTTTTTACAACAAAGAAATAAAACCTGGGCGTCGTAGTTTAATCACGTTTTGTTATGTTTTCCTACTGTAATTCGCTTCCCTCATACATGTCGTCATGCATTTTATGCTTGATCTATGTATTTAGAAATGAATAGATCTAATGACAGCACCAGGGCTCGCTGCCGTTTTTTTGGTCTCCTCGTTTTTCAAGTCGACTGTGCAGTGGTCATATTCAGAATTTACCAGCATAGCACCCGCATCCGAAATACTTTTGCCGTAGCTACGTGCGGTGTTCTAGGTTTTTGTCTTGAAAGCGTGTGTTTTTCACTGGAGTTCTGAGGCCTGCAATTTGTTTTCAGAGCCATCAAAATCGCTGAATCTGACCGCGTCACTCATATTTTCACATTAAGGTTGTGCGTCCAGTAAAAAAATTGGTTAAAGTGAGTTGCGTGTTTGGCATGAGTAGAAAGTCCTCACACTCAGCTACCGGTGCTTCGTGTACCGAGACGTCGAGTAGGAGGACGGATGGTGGAGGTATCGATATCTTTTCTCGGTCTTCCCCGTGCTGATCAGAGGGCATCCTCACAGCCTGTTTTTCAGGCGGTGGTTTACCTGATTTTACCGGCTACAGCGAGGCTCCTATGGGGCCTGTTGCTGGTTCTTTTGTGGACCCTTCCTTGCACAGTGCCGGGTTTGTCTCCGAGTTGAGGGCTTTGGTCGAAGGACTGTCAAAGAAATTGTGTCTCTGGCATGCCAGGTAGATCAAACGCAGTCGGAGCGAGCTGTCTCCACTGCAGCCCCCCCCCTGGTGAGCAAGCAGGAAGAGACATGAGCATCGTTTGCATTCAAACCCTTCTCTTCCGGGGAACCCCCGGTTCCCAGCCATGGCTCTCCTGATGATTTGGGTGAGGTCTAGGCTCAGGCTAGTTGCACCTGGTCTCCTCTGGGACCTCGGGCATGAATGCGAATGGAGATGCTGGCAACCAAGACGATTTCGGGGGCAGGGCTTTCGGGTCAGAGCACACGTTGTACCTCCCTCCTTTCAGCCATCCAGGGTTTGTCATGCGGAAATGGTACAACGGTAAAGAATTTACCCTTGTGTCCAGGCTCCCTCCTTAGCGACCCACAGGTGTCTCCAGAGGGAACCGACCCTGTCCTGAGACGCACAATCGAACACGCTCTCTTTCCCATATTTAAGTGGAAAGGGGACAGTTTGCTCGCGTCGGTTACAGCTAGTACCTCGGGCGGTCCCTCAGAGTCTTCCTTCGTAACAACTCGGTGAGCCACGTCTTTGGAGTATCATCGATCCTAGTGATACGATGTTAATACCCCCACCCATGATCCTATGGCAATCACCTAAGGTTGCTTCAACGCTTATGGGATCACGGGCATCGAGATCCAAGCAACCCTGTCGGGACGTCTTTCCCTGTCTGTTTGAGTGCAGAGTGGGGCGCAGGGTGCGCAAACTGTGTTGATGGGCGGACATTGGTCAGCCACGGAAGAGGTAATGCTTACGGTCCCCGGGTGGGGAAAAACCTTAGGCAACACTTCCCGCTGGACCAAACGCTACCTGATCGGTGTGGTTTTGGAATCAGACCCAAAGTGTGGATCGCAAGGCTTCTTCCCTAGACCCCGGTACCACGAATTTCCGTTTGGACTCTTGAGACCTCGGAGGCAGAGCACACCACCCTCCTAGACCAGGCGACACAATTACTGGTGGGCCACTGTGCATCTATGTGCGACATCCCCTTGTGTTACCTGGCTCTCTTGTCCAAGGCCACTACTGTGCAACAAGACGCGGCTGTAGACGCATGTGTTTTCGCCGGCAAACTGAGTCAGCCGGTATTAAGTCCAGGCTTCTACCCAAACGTGTTCGTAGTACCTAATCTACAGGAGGCGGGTGTCCAGTTCTGGATCTAGGCTGACTGAATCAGTATGTGCTCCTCGATTGGTTATGCACGGAGACACCATTCAGCGTTCTTCTGTCCATCCACTGTTTCGACTGGCTAGCCCCACTAGACTCGAGCGGGGCCTAACTGCACATACCAATGCACCCAGCGAGTTGCCATCTCATTCGAATCGCCCACCTGGGCCAAGTATTCAAATTTTGGGTTTGGGTTATGCGCAGCGCTCTATGTGATGAAACAGGTAGTGCTGCTGCTTTACCAAATGTCAGTACTCCTCAATTCATACCTAGTCGCCTGATTAATACACAACCCGGACAAGGGGTTATTAGCTAAGCACGTCAGGCTAATACAGGATTTACTTCACCAGTTGGGCTCTATAGTGAATCCACAAGTCCCATCTCGACCCAACGCACAGTTGGTGTTCCTGGGCATGGAGTTTGACACAGAGGTAGACTTGGTATAGCTATTTCTCTCAGTGTCCCTCCGTAAACAAATGAGAATTCATCGGAATGATGTGACCTCGGTTTGAAGGGTGGTTTCCCAGGCCACACTACGCAGCTGTCCAGGACAACGCTTGTTGTTACAACACCGAGCTCACGATGGGAACTAGATAAGTGGGTTTTGATCTCTGACTAAGTGAAGGAAGCCCTGCCGTGGTGGTCATCACTGGGCAACCTCTGACAGGGGGCCCGTTTTGGACCCACTCGCTGCAGGTATGACTCTGGTAACAGATGCCTTCCCCCTAGATTGGGGAGCGCACCTAATGGACGAACGAGCCCAAGGATATGACCCCCACATTAGTTTCGGGACCACCATATCAACCGGCTCGAACTGAAAGCAGTGCACTTAGCACTACCACACTTTCGTCTCGTAGTTCGAGACCACAGAGTCCTGCTTCGAACAGGCAACGCAGCAGTGGTCTTCTTCAATAAGGAGGGCGGGGGACACGTTCCCCATCGTTGTCAGTCCTAGCAGAGCAAAATTCTTCTTTGGTGCCTCGAATACAATGTGGAGCTAACCGCACACCACCTTCGAGGGGTGAGGTACAGTCTGGCAGACACCCTTTCAGGACGGGCTCCGTCTCCAGAATAGAGAGTGGCTGATATCCCAGTGGGTAGCCTCCAGGCTGTTTCGGCTGTGGGACGGTCCAAAGATAGACTGGTTTGCCACACTTGGAACGCCAAGCTCCCGACGTACATAACACTACTTAAGACTCCAGGAGCCTGGGCCATGATTGTTTTGCTAACCCCGTGGATGCACTTAGTTGTGTACGCCTTTCCTTTCTTCTTGCTAGTTTGCCGGGCACCGGAAAAAACTTTGACAGGTACATACCCGCATATTGTCATTGGTCGCACCCAATTGGCCAACCAAGGCCTAGTTTCCACTTCTGTTGGAAATGTTAGTCGAAACGCTAGTAGTGCTTCCGTACTTACCGGACCCGCTGTCACAACCGGACAGCGCACTACCAACGAGCCCAGCAGGTATCACTTATGCGCATAGTGGCTCTCAGTAGACTCGCACAGACGAAAGGTCTATCTAAGTGGGCTGCCAACGTCCTGGCCAGGGCGAACAGGGATTCCACCAACGCTGCCTACATTTCTAGGTTGCGAGCATACACTCATTGGTGTAGCGGAAGGGAGATTGATCCATATCATCCCTCTATTGGTCAGGTAGAAGACTCCTTCGTCCACCTGTTTAACGAACTGGGTTTGTCCTACGCAGCGATCGTTGGCTACAGGTCGGCCTTGTCCCCTACAATTGAGAACGCTCTGGAAACAAGACTAGTCGATTGTCCTATTGTTAGGAGACTATTTACTGCTTTCCAGATGCTGAGACCCCGTACAAGGGAACCACCCAGCTTGGATCTGTCGGTTGTGTTGTCAGCTCTAAGGAGACCACCCTCAAAGTTTGTGACGTGGATCCTCACCGATCGTCATCCCCCGGCTGTCAAATTTTGTCTGTCCGGAGGATCAGGAGGAATTGCTTCTCTGCCCGGTTCGTGCACGGAGTTGCTACCAGAACCGTACTAAGGATTCAGGATGGGGTGCCAGGCACATGTCTTTGTGTTACGGCTCAGGCAGGCAGGATAGGCCGGCCTTCCCACCTTCCTTCACCAGGTGAAATACTGCGACTGTATTAGAGGTCTATGATACTTTGACTTCCTCGACATAGAGCTTGCAGAGACACCAAGTACGAGCATGAGGTCTGTGTGATTGCTAACTCGCTAGTGCTAGCGCCAGGTGCCCCCTCAAACACATATTGAAGACAGGCTTCTGGAGAATGTAGAATGTCTTTATCAACTACTACCGAAGAGACACCCAATCCATTGAGGAGGGTCCCTTTAGGTTGGGCCCCATCGTAGCGGGTCAGACTTGGTTTGCTGACCCAGACCGAACGATCACAAGGGTCCCTGCGCATAGGTGATAAGTCAGTCTCGGCATTTTTGTGGACAGATTTCTTTACCATCAGAGCCCCCTGGAAGCTCCCAGGTCCTGCTTTGCGACCTTTGCCCTCATGCAGATCTGTTTCGGTCTTTACTTTAAAAGCTTACTACTTACTATGGTAG